GTAGTCCTTGCCAGCCTGGGTCGCCGTCTCGATGCAGCCTGGCGTCACTGGGGCCGCGGTCGCCGCGAACGCCGTGCTAATGACCGCGCGCACGTCGCCCGCCATGCTGGCGCGAGCTCGGCGAGGATTCTGGCGAGCGCCTGCGCGACCTGTGACTTTGGGGCGCCTTTGCCTGCCGCCGCCGTGGCCGCCTCCGCGACGTCTTCGCCCTGCTTGCGTTCCGTGCTCTCGTCGTTGTCCTCCGCCGTTGCACCTCCCTTGGCACCTCCTCTGGGCAGCGCCCACTTGGCGTCCTCGATGCCCGCGGCCTTCGCCTTGTCCGACATGGCATCGCCCTCCTCGCGCGCCCTTGCGGGGGTTCTTGCCCGCCGTGGCAGGCGCGCGGATGTCTGGCGCATCTGGGAGATGCCGAACTCGTCGACGCTGTCGAAACTCGAGCCGAAAGCCTGCTAAGCACCCGCAGCCCGGGCAATCCAGGGACTTGGGCCCCCAGGCCAGGGCGAGGGCGCGAGCGAGGCCAGCGGCGCAAGAGCCGCGTTGCAGCGATCGCGGCGAGCGGCGACGAGCCGCGACCTCCGCGGCGCAAGCCGTCTGACACACAATGCGCTCGTTTGTCGGGCTATCGGGCGAGCAGACATTGGCGACGCGGCGAGCCACGCGAAAATGGATGCGAAGAGCGCGCGTCAAATCGACTGTCCTCTCGCAACTCTCCCCCTCCACCTCCGCCTGCCACTGGCGCTTGGATGCCTCCTCCTCCTCGCGAAAGATGATCTCATCCTCCTTTGTCTCCAAGGGCTTGCCGGGGGCGCGGAGGGGCGGGATGGCGTCTCGCTCGAGCTCTCGAGAGCGCAATATAGCGGCGCGCGCCGGGCTGGTATTTTTTTCAGCCTTGCCACGACGCGCGGACCCGCCCCCTGCTGCAAAGACAAAGCGCCTTCCGAGCAGCCGGCGAGCGCAATCCACATCCGCCGGAAATCTCTTGGCCCATGGATTGTTCCAGCACGAATTGCAATCGTCGCCGGCAATCGCATTGGGCCGCTCCCCTCTGGTGGTGCCTAGATGCGCCGCAGAGAACTGAGCGCTGTTGCTTGCGATCGGCCGCCGCCTGCTGCTGCCGCCGCAATCGACTTGCATGGAGCTCCGCCTATGCCTTCGCGATCTTCCAGTGCGTCAGTGCCTCTGCGCTCGTGAGTGAGCGAACTGCGCCGTCCTCGCTCCGCGCGCAGGTTCCTCCTCGCATTGCAATCCTCGCCAGAAAAGCGACCGCTCCGCCCAGCGCGTCGCGCTGGCGCTTGGTCGGAAGGAAAGCGTCGAAGGCGGAGGGCGCTGCGTTGGGCGCTCCTCCAGGAAGGACTGCGCGCCCCCACCGCCGCGATATTCTCGCTGCGCTGAAGTGAGAACGCGCTGGGGAGAATGCTGACTTCGCCGCTTGGCTCCATATGCTCAATTGAATGCTAAAAACAAAAAACTCTGCCCGCTACTGATGATGGGCCTGGCCTGATCAACTTCTCGTCCGCGCCGGTGCCGTCCGACGCGCCGCCGTCGCCAATCTCTCCATGCAAGTCCGCGCCCCAAACGGTGGGCTGCGATCGTGCCCGCCTGCATCTTCGCGTTCTGTGCTGAGCAGATCTCGCTGAGGGACTGGTCCATTACCTCGTCTCAGGCGTGCAATGTGGCCCTCAGTTTGTCGACGTTGACGGTGTCCTTCGAACCGTGTGGGCGCGGCCATATCTTCGTGGCCGATCCGCCGTCGCCGTGGATGCCAATATTGCTGCTTCTTGTCGCCGTCCTTCACGCGGCCATGATGCTCGGGGGAAAGTGGGCCAAGTCCTCTTGCAGATGTGCGCGCCGCAGAATATCCTTTGCCCAAGACGCGAAGAACGCGGGGCAGTCGTCTGCCCTCGCCCCCCGGCTCCTCGCTTATCCCGCCAGCGCAACATTCGCCGGTGAGCCAATCCGGCGGGTAATATTATGATAACGTGCAATGTGCAGCGCTCGATGCAAGCATGCCTCGGTGCAGCCGTTGTCCGCGTCGGTCAGATCGAAGAATTTCGGGGTCTTCCACAAGACCCATTCGAGGTGCCCGATGCCCCTTTGGCTCTCGGGTGGACGCATCGGTGGCATGCTACTGTTACATGCTGGCAAGTGCCCCATTACATCGTCTGGCACATGGCCCCGCTGGTCTCGTTTATATGTTATTTTTTTTGAGGGGGGGGGGGGGGGGGGGCTCGTCTGGAACTTGCGCGCGCGCGCCAACTCTTCGTCGGATGCGGAAGAGAGGGGGCTCGAAGGTCGCGTCATTTTGTCCCCATCCTCGCGTTGCCCAATCTGATAGTTGCCCGATGTGCCTGTCCGCAACGTCTCGAAACCGAATGCTCCTGGACCTCCTGCGAAATCGCCTCGCTGGTTTGCTGTCTTGTCAATGTCATGTTTGTTTTGTGCGCGCGCGTGAAAGCGCTTTGAGCCGAGCCTGGACTTCTCCTTTCGTGGCCTCCGCGCACCGCGTGGCTTCTCGTATATCGCAGCGCTGCTGTCAGACCGCCAGCCGCTCCTGCCGCGTTTGCCGATCATCTTCATCAACGCACTGCGGCTCCAAGAACTATTCTTGTCATGCTGAACCGTTTGCGTCTCAAGGTCGCCAACTATCACGTCTGCTGTAGACTTCAATCCGGGGGAAGCCCAGTGCCGCATATCCTGCCTCAAGCCAAAGATCAATCTGGTGAGTTCGTCATGCTTGCGACCTCCGTGGCTTCGCGCGAAGACAAAAGCGTTGCGATCCCACTTCTTCTCCCTCTGTGCTGCGTCATTCTGGTCGCCACGCATCGCCAGCTTATCATGTATTTAATTTGCATCGGTGGGCATATGGTCTCGTAACTCACGATCTGGCAACTATTGGAGTCGCCTGCCCAGCCTCAGAAACGGACTGTACACAAACATATTTCCTAACTGCGGGTCCGAAGCTATAATCCAAGCGCGAGGCCTCGCTTGGATGATCAAACCAAGTAGGCGCCGTAGAATCGTTGAATACAGCAAAACGGTGACGAAGGAGTACGGGTCTGATCAGCTCTCCCGCACCTCCATTGAACCCCTGCGTGGCATTCGCCTCGCTGAGGACCCCCTTCCCCCACGTAGCTTTGTGCCTTCTGTGCGCGAAAGCCGGTGCCGTCGTTGAGATCAGTAAATCTGAGCGGCACCGATGAGTGTGGGGGGGGGGGGGGGTGCTCGGCAAGACCTGATCCAGCCATTGTGCCATGCAAGTCTCTCTGTGATGTGTTCCAGCCTTGGCCGTCTTGGGCTTGGGCGGGTAGTACAGCGCATTAACCGTAATGTCCATGAATCCATTATTACAGCGTGCCGCCAGAACATGACTTTGCAATGTTGCACGGGTTCGATGTATTCATCGGATATGCGGCGTTATATTCACTCTCGTGCCCCATGGGATCCTGCAACCAGCCGGATTAGCTTCCCGTGTCCCAGCCTGAGCCAATGATCAATCTTCCTTGCGCGTCAGGCTGGAAGCCGTGAGTCGCCAGGGGGCGATCTGCTTTGCGTCCCAACCAAAAGCACAGACATCGAAACTCCTCTCTTCATCCGCTATGTCTTCCGTTCTGCCCACTCAGCGCTAGCAAAGGATTCAAAAAAAACCCAAACAAGCAGTGGCAATGTCCTGATGGACCTGCCACCGCGGGTCCTCCTCACCTCCTGAGAAGCGGCCGCCGTCGCCCGCGCCGTAGCACGGTTCTTAGCGTGGTGGGAGGGGCAGGAGGCCCCCTGCCGCGGCCCTGCATCCTGTTCTTGGGGGGGAAACGAGGAAGAAGAGGAGGAGGAGGACGAGGTGGAGGTGGAGATGGAGGAGGAGGAGGAGTCCGGCGCCCAGGGTCGGTCTCCCGAAGGCCGCACGTGTATTGCACACGCCCAGCCAACGAACTACCGCCCGGAAAGCAGCAACAGCTGCGCAGGAAGGGCATCGGGGGGACCACGTCGCCATCTGACGTCCTGCCCCTCCTTTCCATCCCTTACCATGGCGTAGATCTTCTATCTCTTCGCACAGTCGGATGTCGAGCAGGGCAGTGATTCCAAGAAGGGTGCGCGATGTATGGGGAGGCTTGGCGTAGAAGAACACGACAGGATAGCATGTCATAGCATGGCGTTGCATTGCGTAGTGAAGCATTGCATCCCACATCATGGCAACGCAAGGCATGGCATCGCCCAGCGGTGCAAGCACAATATCGCATTGCATGCCGTGGCATGGCACCACATGACTTGAAAAGGTAAGTGGCCCGTCTACGAGAGAACAAGGCCTGTCCAGAATGCCGGCTCCATGTCCTCTGCAACCGTGCCTGCCCGATGTGGGCGCTTTCGAATGCCAAGCGCCGTCTGGAGGCGCGGGAACGACGCCAGCGCTGCAGCGGGAGCACGATTTTGAGTGACCAAAGCGCGGACATGATGGAGGCGCTGCAGTGGGAGCACCATTCTGGAATAACCAGAAACGACCAGATTGAACAAACCACGTAGGAAAAAAACAAATAATGTAATCTTGTTTGTAACAAGCGATACGCGGAGAGGGCGGGACACTCTCTGGACGGAGTCAGGGGCGAGAGGAAACCAGTATTCAGCTTGTTTCATTAACTGTGGAGGGGGAGGACGGGGAGGACGGGGAGGAGGGGGAGGAGGAGGAGGAGGAGGAGGAGGAGGAGGAGGAGGAGGAGGAGGAGGAGGACAAGGAGGAGGAAGAGGAGGACGGGGAGGAGGAGGAGGAGGAGGAGCAGGAGGAGGAGGACGAGGAGGAGGAGGGGGGAGGAGGAGGAGGAGGAGGAGGAGGAGGAGGAGGAGGAGGAGGAGCAGGAGGAGGAGGAGGAGGAGGAGGGGAGGAGGGGGAGGAGGGGAGGATGCGGAGGGGGAGGAGAAGGGGGAGAAGGAGAAAGATAATGGCGAATTGCAGAGGAGGCAGAGGAGGCACCTCCGAGGCAGAGGCCCCCCCCTTCACCCTTGCGGGCGGCCTCTCGGCGTGAGGGCACCGTCGGAGGCCGGCGGCGTGGGAGGCGGCGTTGCTCCTGGCCAGCCAGCTCCCTCTTCCTCTCCCCCCTCTTCTCTTCCTCCTCCTCCTCCTCATCTTCCTCCTCTTCCTCCTCTTCCTTCTCCTCCTCCCTGTTCCTCCTCCTCCTCCTCCTCCTCGTTTCCCCCCTCCTCGTCGTTCCCCCTCCTCGTTCCCCCTCCTCTCCCCCATTTTCGTTTTCCCTCCTCGTTTCCCTTTCCTCTTCCCCCCATCCTCGTTCCCCCTCGTCGTTTCCCCTCCTCTCCCCCCTCCCCTCCTTCTCCTCGTTCCTCCTCCTCGTTCCCGCTCCTCCTCCTCCCCATCCCCACCTAAATCTCCGACGATGTGTTTTTCAACCCCGGCGTGGTTTTCATAGGTTTCGGCCGCTGGAGCTCGTTATCGGGACCCCTCCTCTCGCTCACTCTTCGTCCTCGTCCTCGTTGTCCTCGTCCTCGTCGTCGTCATTCTCCTCCTCTTCCCTTCCCGACTCCTCGCTTCTCGAGGAATCCGTAGGAGTTGAATGCAAAAAGGACTGGCCCATCCCCCCTCCAGCAATCTCATGTCCAACCTTCCCACAAGAAAGGGGGGTCAATCAGAAAAGGGCTCGGACAAAAAACCCTGCGCCTTCAGCCCCCTGGGAACCCTCGGGATTTTTTTTCGTGCCCCACCCAACTCGTGTCCCCGTCCTCAGGCAGACCGGTAGACTGTGCGCCCCCCCTCCTCTGCTGTAGCTGCTGACATCCTCACCCTCTGGGAAGAAAGCAGGAGCAGGCGTGGCGGAAAAGAGAGGATGAGAGAGAGGAGGATGAGGAGGACGAGGAGGAGGAGGAGGTGGAGGAAGAGGAGGATGATGATGATGAGGAGGAGGAGGCGGAGGCGGAGAAGGAGGATGATGAGTCCTCCTCCTCCTCCTCCTCTTCCTCCTCCACCTCTTCCAGAAATACCCAGAAGTCCTCGGCGGCCTCCGGAAACCTGAGATCCGAAAGGGCCTTCAAACGGTGAAAAGCTTTGATATTCCTCCTTTCCGTCCTGGAGCACCGAGTGCCAACCGCGGATTTGGCGCCAGCCCAAGAAATCAGCGCGGACCGACAGTACATCCTCTCGGCTACACGCAATAATGACCCTGGGTAAGAGTGACCTTTGGTGCGCGGCTTTTGGGGGGCCGCTGGGGGACCAAGCGCAACCGCGCAAGACGCTGCTACTGCATCGCGTTCGGCGATCTGGGGACCAATTTATGCCCGCGCGAAAGGTCACTCCAGCGAAAGGTTACTCTTACGTCTAGTCGAATCCGAGCGTCAGCATGAGTTCTTGCTGTTATTGCCGCGCCTCTGCCTCCTCATCTCCTGCCTCCTCCCTCTTTTCCATTCCCATGCTCAGATTCACTCACAGTCAGACTTAGACTCACTGGCGCCCATAATCATGCACTTTACCATCCAGGGGGAGCCCAGCGGCAAGAGCGGGTGACAAACAGAGCGCGGAGGAGCCGGCGGAGGAGGAGGGAGACGGTGGGGACGCAAGCAACGCGCCCCGCGAGCGCGCGGGACAGCAGCAGCCCACGGCGGCCGCCGCCAATTCACTTGATTTATCAGGCGCGCCAGGGCGCTCGAGCAGGCCCTGTCGCACCGCCGCCCGCCACGCCGCCTCGCGGCCCCCAGCACGCGGGGCGTCCAGGAGCAGCAGGCCGGCCGCCCGAGCCCCCGCCGCGGCGGCCGCCCCCGGGCCTGGCTCCGCGCCCGCCGGCCCCAGCCCCGGCCCGCGTGGCCGCAGCTGCCGCCACTACCGCAGCGTTGTTTGCCACACGTGGTGCGCGGCGGCGCGATGCCCCGCCTGCGTCCAGCGCCGGCGTACTCGCGGGCCGCGTGGCCTGTGCCCGTGGTTGGCCTTGAGGGCCTCGAACTCCACCATGGCGGGCACGCGCTACACCGCCGTGAGGGCTTCCAGCTGCCGCTCGCGCTCCTGGCGCAGCGCCAGCGGGGGCAGCCGAACCTCAGCCGCCGTCCCCGCGAGGCGGTCGGCCGCGGCGTTCCTGGAACGGGCCTCGGGTGACACGCCGCGCTCACGGGCCTCCGCGGCGTCGAGGTGCCCCTTGACCTACCGCGCGGCTAGCGCGCCGCTCCGGCAGAGAGGAACCAGCGGCTCCCACAGGTCAGCGTGGGCCCAATCTTCGGGGGACGCCCCGCCCCTGATCGCTGCGACACCATTGCTGACGAAGCGGGAGTCGGTCACTATCTCGACGGCCCCGCCGGCCAGGCTGACGGCATGCCACGCTGCGCGGTCTGCGCGCCATCAACAGGCCCATGGTGTTCCTCGGGACCCGCGCCCTGGTCCAGCACCGCCCCCCGCCCTGCCCTGGCGAGGAAGGGGTCGGTGGAGTGCGAGCAGCCGCCGTCCGTCCAAGCGCGCGCCCGGGGCGAGCCCGCGGCGGGGCCCGGCAGGGCTGGTCGCGGCAACGGCCATTGCGCCTGGTCCGCCAGTGCAGCCAGCTGCAAGTGCTGTGGCAACACCCCCGTGAGCGCCGTCTGGGCCGGCAGCCGCGCGCGGGCCGCGGCGCGCGAGAGGACTTCAGGGATCAGTGCAACGGCGCGCGCGGGCTCCCAGCGGGGGCATGCCCAGACGCGGTGCTCGAAATCGTCGCACTCGAGCCGCGCCACAATGAAGGCAAGCTGCTGGGCGTCCCCATTTTGCGGCCAGCGCCTCCGTGACGACGTTCCCAGCGAGCACGGCGCGAAGGGCACCCGCGGCGTCAGCCGCCAGCTCCCCGCTCTCGAGGAGCCGCCTGGTGGCCCACCTGTCAACTCCAACGTGCAGGTGGCGAAAGCCGGCGCGCCGCCGGGCCACCTCGCGGGCCTCTCGTGCTGCCCATGCCTGGAGTAGAACCGTGCGCGTGTCGGGAAGCGCACGGTCTGCTGGGCGACAGCCTCCAGGTGCAGTTGCCACCCCAATCCAGCACTCGACGTCGACCCCCAAATGCAGCTCAACCATGGTCCGGATCGCCGCGTCGACAGGGCCGAAGCCACGGCCATGTCCCGATGCCATGGTTCCGGCGGCTCGCCTCCACAGCTCGGCTGGAAAGCGGCGCTTCCGGATGGCTTTGGCAACCTGTCACAGTGGCGCGATGACCGTCACTGTCGCCGGGTCAAGCCCCCGGGACGGCGCCAAGACGCCGAAAATGATCTCCGCGGCCGCCCGGAATCCCCCTCGGCAGACGGCGCGCCGCGCGGCGGCGCGGAGCCCAGCCAACTCGCGCGCTGGGGGGTGCCCGCACGCCGCGCCGTAAAGACCAGCGGCGGTGCCCGCGGAGGCGCCGACCCCGCCCATAACCGTGCACACTTAGACTCACTCGACTCAGACCCACTCATACTCAGATCACTCACGCTCAGATCCAGTCATACTCATCTTAGTTGAGTTCATGCGCAGAGCACTTGCAGTCATATCACGTACACTCAGACCCACGCATACTCAGACTCACGCCCACTCAGACCCACTCCACCACAGTCATACTCACACCAACCAGTAAACGAATTCACTCATGCTCAGAACACTCGTGCACGCATCATTCCATCCTCAGACATTCAGGATCCCTTCGGTGAAGGCATGGCACTTAGGCCACCCCATTGAGTGACGACCAAAAGGTGGTGTTCCACGGGCACGTTCGCGCCCAAATTGTGGGGGCCTCTCGAGCAGCATGGCCGTTTGTGGCTGCGGGCGCGTGTTCCTTTCAGCGCCCTATGACCACCGCGATGCGGCAGGCATGGCGCTTGGGCTTCCCCGAGGGGGGGGCGACCAGGTGTGTTTCATGGAGCCGCGATCAAAGCCAGGACCAGGGCCGGGGACGGAGCGGCGGCTGTTCCCTGCTCCTGCTCGCTTCCTCCTCTTCCGGCTGCTTCCCTGCTCTTTTCTGTTTCTCTGTCCCTCTTTCTCCTGCTGCCTCGCGCCCAGGTTGTGGGGACGTCTCGGGTAGAATAGAATTGCCGTTCGTGGCTGTGGGCGCGTCTCCTGCAAAGAGCCCCTATGGCCACCGCGATGTATAGGCATGACACTTGGGCCTCCCAGGAGAGCCGACCAGGTGCGTTACGCGAGCCAATGCGCACCCAGACGTTTCGATTAGAATTGGAGGAAGAAAAAACCTATACGACCACCCTTCGGGTGATAAGGAGGTTCGGGGGGGGGGGGAACCAACGTCTCACTCAATCGGTCTCACTATCGATCTCAGTATCGATCTCACTATCGGTCTCGCTCGATCGATCTCACTTGATCGATCTCACTCGATCTATCTCATCCGATCGATCTCACAATCGTTCTCACAATCGATCTCACAATCGATCACACAATCGATCTCACATTCGGTCTCAATATCGATCTCACTATCGATATCACAATCGCTTTCACAATCAACGTCATCATCATCATCATCAACATCATCAACATCAACATCATCACCAACATCGTCATCATCATGAGGGCACAGTCATCATCATCATCATCATACACATCATCATCAACGTCAGCACCATCATCGGGACAACATCATCATCACCATCACCATCATCATCTCATCATCATCATTATCATCGGGGCACAGTCATCATCATCATCAACATCAGCATAATCATCATCATAACCGGGACACCATCATGATCACCATCGTTCTCATCATCAACATTATCATCAACATCGTCATCATCCTCGGGACACCATCATCACCATGATCATCGCATCAGCATCAACAACATCATCATCATCATTGGGGCACCATCATCATCATGAGCAACATCATCATCAACATCGTCATTATCATTGTTATCATCATCGAGACACCATCAGCATCACCATCATCATCATCATCATCATCATCATCAGCATCGTCATCGGGACACCATAATCATCATCAACATCATCATCATCAACATCATTATCGCCGGGACACCAGTTCCATCAACATCATCATCACCAACATCATCGGAATCATCATCATCATCATCATCATCATCATCATCATCATCATCATCATCATCATCATCATCGGGACACAATCATCGTCATCATCATCAACATAATCATCATGAGCATCATCATCCTCATCACCGGGACACTATCATCATCATCGACACCATCATCAACATCATCATCTTCATCGGGACACCATCATCATCATCTCATCATCATCATCATCATCATCATCATCATCATCATCATTATCTCATCATCATCATCATCATCATCATCATCATCATCATCATCATCATCATCCTCGCGGGACACCGCGGGACACCGGCGGGACACCGCGGGACACTGCGGGACACCGCGGGACACCGGCGGGACACCGCGGGGCCCCGGCCGCCCAGAAGGGAGTCATTTGGTCCGGCCGCGCCTCAGCCACACGGGACACCAGCGGGACACCGGCGGGACACCGCTTCCCCTGCCGCCCGGAAGGGATACATTTGGTCCGGCCGCGCCTCAGCCACAGGAGACTTTCTCTCGCCCGCCCACGCAGCTTCGCCTCGCCCGCACGGCACGCACGAACACGAAACCGAAATCGATTTCCCGGTAGGGAGGCTCTCCGTTCCACTTCGATCTCACCCCCCAACCTCCGACAGCATAAGCATCAACTGTTGGTGCTCCGCGCAGAATTCTTGGATATGACCTGGACCCCCCTCCCTGGCGCGCGGAGCGCGCCAGGGGCGGCGCCGGAGGCGCCGCCAGGGGGGTCCCAGCGCAGATCCAAGAAATCCGCGCGGACCGCCAAAAGTTTATGTATATGCAGATTTTTGTTTCCCATATCCTAAGATGGGGTTCTTATTATTACTTGGACGCCTCCTCCTCCTCCTCCTCCTCCTTCTTCTTCTTCTTCTTCTCCTTCTCCTCCCCTCTCCTCCTCATACCCAGACTTACTCATACACAGACTGACTCACACTCAGACTTACTCATACCCAGACTTACTCACACACAAAATTACTCATGCTCAGACCTACTCATACTCAGACCTACTCTTACTCAGGCTTACTCATGCTGAGACTCACGCACGCCCCGTTCGCGGCTGTTTTGTGGGGATGTCTCAAGCGGTTTGCCTGTTTCTGTCCCAACATCCTTCGCTTTGGAGGATGTCTCGAGCGAGGCGCTCATTTTCACCCCCCTAAGGGGAGCCGCCAAGGGTGTTTTCACGATCCTGTTCGTGGCCGTTTTGCGGGGATGTCTCAAGCGGCTTGCCCATTTTCTGTCCCAACATCCTTCGTTTTCGGAGCAGATTTGGAGGATGTCTCGAGCGAGGCGCTCATTTTCAGCATCCCTAAAGGGAGCCGCCAAGGGTGTTGTCATGGTCCCGTTCGCGGCCGTTTTGTGGGGATGTCTCAAGCGGTTTGCCTGTTTTCTGTCCCAGCATCCTTCGCTTTCGGAGCAGATTCGGAGGATGTCTCGAGCGAGGCGCTCATTTTCACGTCCCTAAGGGGAGCCGCCAGGGGTGTTTTCACCGTCCCGTTCGCGGCCGTTTTGTGGGGATGTCTCAAGCGGTTTGCCTGTTTTCTGTCCCAGCATCCTTCGCTTTCGGAGCAGATTTGGAGGATGTCTCGAGCGAGGCGCTCATTTTCAGCATTCCTAAGGGGAGCCGCCAGGAGTGTTTTCACGGTCCCGTTCGCGGCCGTTTTGTGGGGATGTCTCAAGCGGTTTGCCTGTTTTCTGTCCCAGCATCCTTCGCTTTCGGAGCAGATTTGGAGGATGTCTCGAGCGAGGCGCTCATGTTCAGCATCCCTAAAGGGGAGCCGCCAAGGGTGTTTTCACGGTCCCGTTCGCGGCCGTTTTGTGGGGATGTCTCAAGCGGCTTGCCTGTTTTCTGTCCCAACATCCTTCGCTTTCGGAGCAGATTCGGAGGATGTCTCGAGCGAGGCGCTCATTTTCACCCCCCAGGTGGGCCAGATTTTGAGGATGTCTCGATCGGTGGCCAGACTCGTGGGCGCAGATTCTCCTCAGGATGCCACAGGGGGCTCCAACAGGCTCCAGGAGGCCCCAGGAGACCACATGAGGTCCTAGGAGGCATCGGGAGGCCACAGAAAGACTCAAGAGGCCACAGGATGTCCCAAGAGGCTCTAGGAGGCCCCAGGAAGCTCCGGGAGGCCTCAGGAAGCCACAGGAGGCCAGAGGAAGCGCTAGGAGGTCTCGGAAGGCAACAAGAGGCCCTGAGAGGCCGGCCCCAGGAGCAGTTCCAAGCGCCCAAATGGCTAGACGCGCATTCCCAGATCCCACTGACAATTATCCTTTTAAAAAGACGTACATATGGGGATCTCCACGCAGTGAGTAATTATTCGAAGAGTGGCCGATTGTGGCGGTGGGCGCGTCTCCTTTCAATAGCCCCACGTCCATCGCGATGCTGCAGGGATAGCGCTCGGGCCTCCCCAACGGGGTGCCGACCATGTGTGTTCCACGGGCCCGTTCATGCCACCACTGTCGGGATGTCTCGAATAGAACTGCCGCTTGTGGCTGCGGGCACGCCTCTTTTCATAGCCCCATGCTCACTGCGCTGTGGCAAACACGACGCTTGGGCCTCCCAATGGCGTGCCGGCCAGGGGTGTCCCGTTCTCACGCACAGATTTCGGGGACGCCTCGAATGTCATGGCCGTTTGTGGGGGCGCGACTCTTTCGAGAGCCCCATGACCACCGCGATGTAGCAATGTAGCAGGCATGGCGAGTGGGCCTTCCAAGGGGTGCCGACCAGGTTTGTTTCACGGGCCCGTTGGCGCCCAGATCGTGGGGAACTGCCAGGGGTATACCACGTGCTCATTCGTCCCCAGATTCGTTTGGAACGCCTGTTGGCGCACCGCAGCGCCCTCTCCTTTCAGAGCCTCGTGACTATCGCGATCTAGCATGCGTGGCACTGCGGGCATCCCAAGGAGTAGCCGCCAGGGGGTGTATCAGGGGCCCGTTCGCGTCCACATCTGTGCCCACTCTCAAACACAACGCATGGGGTAGAACGCATGAATTTGCACCCAGGGCTCCTATCCTGTCAGAGCCCAACGATTATCCCGATGCAGCAGGCATCGGATTTGGGCACCTCGCGAGGGGGTCGACCAGGGGCGCATCACGGGCCACAGTGCCCATCCATGTCCAGATTTCTGCACAGTCAGATCCACTCGTACTCAGAAACTCATACGCAAGAAACTCGCCCAAAAAGAGATGTACACATTGGAATACCTCCGCGTTGAATGTTTACGTTTTTTGGGTCTTCGTCCAATCCCCCTCCAAGCCGACACCATGTCCCCACGCAGTAGGCTCCATGCAAGAGTGCTCCTAGGCAAAGGTGACCTTTGGTACACAGCTTGCCGATCGTTGCGCGCGATGCAACAATAGCGCCCTGCGCACCTGTGTTTGGCCCCGCCCACGCCCCTCGACAGCCTCGCAACAGTGGTCACTCAGGCGAAGGCCAACTCCCACCCCCTCTGGTTTCCGAATCATAACTCAAGTCTGCGGCGGCAGTGAGGGGCGATCCGGGCACCCCGCTTTCGGCGAGGAGCAGCTGCTGGAACGCATCCCGACCGACGAGCACGTCCGAGAACGTCCGGCCGGGGGGGTTCTAAACTGGCTGAGATCCGGGGAAATCGGCCAGGAAAGGGGATAAAACCAAATACACTCGAAATCGGTCTCCGGACATATCCCGGGGTCAATCTGATGCACTTTGTCGCCCTGGATCCCTGTCTGACGGCCCTGGGCCCCCAGCCAGAGGCAGAAAACGGCCAAACGCATCCTCGAACTCAGCACCTCGAGCCACTTCCTCCCCTTCCTGCTCGCTGGAACCACACCTTAGACCCCAAACCGGCTTCAACGACAGGGCCACTTTTACGTGAGGCCAAGCTGTATCCTCACGCAAAGAGTCCCCTGCCACCCACCAAGCCAAGCTGGACTCGCCCGTGCGCCCGCGGTGGTGTCCTGAGCCCGCTGGCGCGGTGGCCGCCTCTGCTGGGTTGGTCATCGGGGTGGCCTGGGGGCGGAAGATGAGGATAGAGGCCTCGTAGATGGGGTCCGAGTAGATGGGGAGAACGTCGGCGACGCCAGCGTCGAGAAAATCGGGCTTCACATCGAGCCGCATTGCCAAAGTGTCGGCGATGCGGAGCGATCCTCCGACCCCATCTGCTCGGACCCCATCGGGGAGGCCCAGAGCATAGAGAGGAGGAGGAGGAGGAGGAGGAGGAGGAGGAGGAGGAGGAGGAGGAGGAGGAGGAGGAGGGAACCCAGACGTGCAGCGCCTGGAACAAGTCCAGCCGGACACGTTTCGCATTTCTCGGCCTCCGGGCCCTCGCCAAGCCCTGGGACCATCAAGATATTTTACGCAACCAAAGGGAAATTAGGACACACAAATAAATACACACAAATAAAATTAGTCCCCATATTTTCCCATATTTTCTGGCTTTTTGTCTTCCCCCCCACTTCCCATATTTTCCCATATTTTCCTGGGAATCGACGATTAATTGTGTCTGTGTGTTTCTTTTCCTCCTGAGCAACAATGGCAATGAAGGGGTAACAAACGACGACATCCACCAGAGACCACGGTCGCCAGTCGCAGAACGTATGTACTGCGAGCGTGGCCGAAACTCGGGGCGGAAATTCGGGCGGTTGTTCGCCTGAACGAGAGGAGGAAAGGAGGAGGAGGAGGAGGAAAAGAGCACGAACAACACGAGAGGGAAGAGGGGAATGCTGATACGAAAAGGTTCCCAATTCGTATCATCCAGCTCCGTGCAGAGCGCACTGAAATAAGACAACTCCGTGACAATCTAAGCTGTCGCAGCCCAGACCAGGCAGATCGACCAAAAAACTGGCACAAAGGTCCCGGGGAGGAGGCGGAGGAAGGAGGGAAAAGGAGGGCGAGGAGGAGGAAGAGGTAGAGGACGCCCAACGCAGGCACACTGGAAACGTCGCTAAAGCCAACCTGCCATAGGCGAACTCAAGCTACGGACCTGGGTCTGAAAGACTGGACGGGGCAGACTGCGTGTAGATATCCCCCGAGGCCGGGACGGCCAACGATATTCACACGAGTGCTGCAATCGAACGAAAGGAGGAGGGGGAGAAGAGAGGGCGGCGCCGCCTCGACGAGCCGCGTGGCTCGACCGCGCAGCCTACTTGGACCACACGCCCAGATATTGAAACGAGGAGGAATGGAGGGAGTGACAAAGGGGGGAAAGACGAGCGACAGATGGAGATATTATGTTGACACGCTGTGCACAAAAAATAGAACTACTGACGCTAGAAGACTACGTAAACTGAACGCAAAGACAAGCGCATGGTGAATCAGGCGAGGGATGAAACTGAAGAGGGAGACATCCCTAGACACTGAAACTGGCACCGAACGGCCGGCGAAAGGAAACGATTCTCGCTCACGCCGGACGTTCGGGCACGCTTCCTGCAACAAGGCAGGATTGTCCTGCGAACGTGGCTGAAATTCTGGCCGCAGACCTGTGCAGAGGGAAAGGAAGGAGGGGGGAGAAGGAGGAGGAAGAGGAGGAGGAGGAGGAGGAGGAGGAGGAGGAGGAGGAGGAGGAGGAGGAAGAGCAAACAAACACATTTACTGTACATCACGGGGCCTCCTGCGCGCGAGCGTCAGGAAAGAAAACGTCTTCGGATGGCCTTGCGCGGTCTTTCTCGCAAAAACGGGACAAATCTTGCAATTCTGCGAGGGGCCGATACCCGTGTTGCGATTTGCCGTGCACGCGGCAAAACGCGAAAACGGCGATGGCACGCAATACCGTGCATGCGGCCCGCGCCTCCGCCGCCGGGAACCCTGCCGGAAGAACCGCTGACTACGGGGCTACTCCCCAAAAGTCCTCCAGGCAGTACAGCCGTGAAGGTCCTCCAGGCAGTACAGCGTGAAGGGTGGAAACACCCGCAGCCAGCGTACTGTTCGATGCTGTCTTCTCCCCGGGGGCAACCCAAAACGCATCGCAAAACCCCTGCCCAGGGAAACCGCCGGGTGGCCACCCAAACATTACAGACTGTGCGGACGGGGCATGCGCAGCCAAGGTCTTGAACGTTGTCACCACCCTGGCAAACCTGCGCCCTGGTAGTGTGGGCAAATTCCACCGATCCAACTTACGACGAAGGTAATAACAAAAAAAAAAAAAAAAAAAAAAAAAAAAAAAAAAAACCGTCCGGTCGAGCACGTAGACGTTTCATCGCCCTGGCCTGCGAACCGACATGATCGAGCCTAGACGCAGGAGGGGAGATAGGGGGAGGAGGAGCAGGGAGGGCGTTCGTACTCGGCCTTGAGCGACGTCTCGGCGCGCGCCAACCAGAACATAACACAATTTTCCAACCAAGCCTGGGCGCGCGGCCGGCCAGCTGCTGCTGCTACCGCCTACCGCCTGTTGAAGTCGAGCGGCGCGCTCCTGCACCCGTAGACCACCGTGTTGTCGATTCCCGAACCGGCAGACACGTGCTTTGGCGGCTGTACACCGCGCTCGGATATCCAGAAGTTCGATAAGGAATCCGACGTCTCGGAGCCTGCGCAAGTAGTTCGAAGGCATCCACCTTCCTGGTCCTCCAATCAGAGCCGCGCAAGCCCGGGCCTCCTGGTCCTTGAAGTTGTCAGGCAGAGCGTCCAACTGGCCGATGAACATGAGGGTGCTCGCCGCGACTGCTTGGTAGGCCAGGAGCAAGGTGCACAGGCCCCGGTCGCACCCCTGAGCTTGGTTCGGTCCAAATATTTCTGGAGTGGGGCTGCCCGAGATTTGTCCTCGCGGGCAGGACCGAGGATGAAGCTCAAATATTTCGCCCAGAGCCCGATGTCCACTCTGGCCCAGGCAGGGGCCGCTCTGGTAAGCAGCCTGCGGAATTCGTCGGCGCGGTGCTCGAAAAGCGTGACTACCACTGTCTTCGCGAAATTCAATGCCAAACCGGAGATCCGCTCGTAATCGTCGAAGATCACCGCCAACGTCGTGACGTGCGAACGCCCCGATGCAAACCCTCGGGGAAATTCGCCGTAGTCGCAGGAGTATTGCGTGTGATGCGACCGCGAAGAGGACCGGGTACAACGGACACCCCTGGCGAATGCCCCGTGTCAGGGAGAAATCGTCATGCCTAGAGCCCCCACAACCATGTTGCACACGTTGGCCTGGTACAAGACACGCACGAAGCGGAGCAGCCGCGGCGGCCAGCCGAGCGCCTCGATTAGCTGGTGCAGAAACTCGTGCTCCACCGAGTGGAAGGCCGCCGCGAAATCGAAGGACTCGGTGGCCCAACCCCCCTCCGCCAACAACGTGTCCAGAGCCATCGCCTCGTCTATGTCCACGATATATATATATATATATATATATATATATATTTGCAAGCGTAGATCGGCCTGACATGAACTCTCTCTGCGACATGGAAATCCGAAGGCCCACCCACGGTTCGATCATGATACGCACCGAGCTGGCCAGAAGGCGGTTGTCCGAGTTAGTCACGTTCAGCGGCCTGGCGGCCTGCGTGGCATAGTATTCACTGCCATCGGCTTGAATGCCAGTCGGACGCTTAAGCAGAAACAACAGCAAGCTCAATTTGAAATCGCGGTCTGATTCCAACGTCGCCTCTGCCCGCCCTTGGCAATCATAGCTTCGAGTGCGTCCAATAGGACATCCACAGCAAGAATTTCAGTCCGACGCCACGCGGAAAATGGATCCCATCCAGTCCAGGCGAAGAATTGTTCAAAGTCCGAATGGCGCGGCGCACGTGACGTCGACAAAGCGGGAACGCGTGGTCTGGGAACGGCGCGGGGCTGGCGAGCGGCATGTGATCCAATTCCTCCACGAGCCACCGGTCCAGCAAGGCCTCGTTCACGCCGCGCGCCCGGAATACCTCGCGCCAGTGGTCACGGAGAGCGGCAGCCATGCCGTCGACGTCTGAACGGACTTCCCCGCGAACGTTTTAGACAGCCCGAAACCGACCCAGAGCGCCCTGGCACTAAGCGGTACAACAAGCGCGTGCCTCGTTGCCGTGAGCTCGGCCGAGCTCGTCCAGAGCATGTTCGCGCGCAAGGTCCACTTCGTGTGACGGCCAAGCTTCACTGTGAGATTGCCTGTGACGTTGTACGGGTTAGAGACGTGATCGGCCAAGGAAGGACATCGATAAAAACACGCGGACACATTCCCAAGCAACCCTTTTTCGCAGGCCCTCAAAACTACCGGGTCACGCCCAACCGGCCCTCCAACGACTCCGCCGCCGCCGGCGCAGTCGCCTCTTTGTTCAACGTGCGGGATACGAACTTCATGGCGTCCTTCAACAACTGCAGCCGGCGTAAGGGTGATGAGACGGCCTGGTCCTTCAGCATTTTGCCACAATGCAAAACAACCCTCCGAGTCCAATCATCGTGCCGGACGGCGCGATCGGGTAAAGAAAACGTTATTCGTACATGAGGCGGTGGGGAGCGTGCCGTGTAAAGATCACGGCCCGGTAGGCGGACAGGTCGACCCGCCACTCCAACGCAGCTGCTCGGAGATGCCGGTCGAGCTTCTCGGAAACGTGCCAGTTGCAACAAATGCGATCCAAGCGAGAACGAGCGGCCGCCGAGGCGTGCGTGACCTCCGGCTGATGCATTCCATAGAAGCCGTGGGGCGCGCCCACAACCAATTCGAAGTGCTCCTCCTCCCCAGTGTCCCTCCTGCCAGGAGCGGAAGCTGAGGAAAGCGAATGGCGATCGCCTGGAGCCGTGACGTAGTTGAAGTCGCCTCCCAGAATCGTCAGCGCCGAGTCGCGCGGAGCCACGCTACGCACGAGGCGATCCTGAAGATGACCACGAAGCACAGGGAATGATGAGCACGACCTGCGAGCCGACGGGTGCACGACGTAGAGCTCCGCCTCGCCTAGCGTGGAGCCTGTCGGGAAGTATGCCACGGTCAAGTCCAAGGCGCCCGATCCCCCGCGAAGCCGAAGAGTTGCGACGCGACTTGGCCAGATAACATCCCACCTCGGAGAGCTATCGACATTTGCCAATAATGAAATCTTGATCACGATGCCGATTCCCGCGTAGCCCGTGGAGTACCCCGCAGACCACCACGCTGGGCTGCCTGAAGGCGGGCGCCACGAGCGGTTCCCACCGTTCGTGCCGTGCGTCTCCGTGAGGAGGACGACGTCAGCTCAGCCAAGCAATGAAGCCAAATATCTCGCTTTCGCCTCGTGGCGCGCTGGGCCAACTGCAAAGAGGGCCTGAACGTTCCAGGTGACTGGGGACAGGTCGCCCCGGAATTGGCCCACTCTGCGATCGGGAGAAGCGGAAGAAGTTGCAGGAGAAGAGCGTGCTGGTAGAGGAAACTCACGATCTGGAAATGATGCAATATGAAAAGCCACCCTGGGCAGAGGGCCGAGACTTCCGGGGAACCCATGCTGAGAAATCAATGCCCACGACCTCTGGGGATGCTGTCGGCTTGCGCAGACGAAGGGTGGCTGTTCCCTGTAAGGCTGCCTACCCAACCCGTCAACGGCTCAGACTATATCAAACGGCCCTTAGCCCTGGGTAATCGGACAACTGGTCATCGCTCGGACGTCCATTCCCGGTGTTTTTTTGTTCAATTTCGTGCGTGTTTTTTGTCTCCAATTGATCAAGGATGCTCCTAGATTGTCCTCGCCGAAGGAAGGATGCACACGTCCGAGCGATGCCAAGGCAACGGGCAGACAAAGTAAAAAGCCAACCTTCCCACGGCCAGCACTACAACCAGCGGGCCTCAGCACCGTGCAGTCGGGCCAGCGGGCAGACCAAGTTGAAGGATCAGCCGCCCACGGCCAAGATGGGCCCGCCGAGCGGCCCGAAAATTGCACCCGCACTTCGCCACAACCTTGGGGGTCCGCCAAAGCCTCTCTGGACAAGTCCTGCGGGGTTCCGACGTAATGCTCGCGGCGGCCTCTCTGGGAACAGTGAGGGGGAAGCCCGTCCAGAACGTTCCCGGCGACCTCTCTGGGTGCATCTGAGGAGGGAGGACATTCCCTGTTTGGCCGCCCGGCCGTCCCTAGTCGGTCGAGGCGATCATCGCTGGTGAGCTTCGCAGAGTAGTAGAGAACCAGCGACACTACTGTCGGGAAAGGAAACAATAAAACGATAGGACCGATAATCATCATGGCTAAAGACGGAAAGGGTAGAGGAGGCACAGGAGGTAGAGGAGGAGGAGGTGGAGACCGTATTACGTAGAACAATGGAAATGGAAGCCTCTGAGGAAGGGGGATGAAGAAGATGAGGAGGATGAGCAAGAGGAGGAGGAGGAGGAGGAGGAGGAGGAGGAGGAGGAGGAGAAGGAGGAGGAGAAGGAGGAGGAGGAGGACGGAGGAGGAGGTAAAGGGCACCGTCTCCCATCGGCACCGATGCCCTCAGCGCTCAGAGATCAGGAGAAAGAATGATGATGATGAACGATGGTGATGAACGGTGATGATGGGGAGGAGAAGGAGGTGTATGAGGAGTGAGAGAATAAGGGGGAGGAGGAGGTGGAGGAGGGAGAAGGTTGTTGGGGATGGGCCTAGCGCCGGGTGGTCCAAGATCTCAGCAAAAATCAACGGCTTCAGAGTCTGAATCGTCGATGCACGGCGACGAAACTCTGGTAGACTCTTCCCCCCGAGCCTTCGTCCAAGGGAGATCGGCCTCTACAAAGCCAAACGAATTCCAACACATGTCCGTGCGGCTCGAAGCCACCCGTGAACTCAAATGCGCAGGGACCAGAAATACCATTAGAGGCCCGACCAACCTCCTCCCTCGTCTGAACCAATACCCCACGCTCGGCGAGGTTGAGGCCCCCATGGGCCCCCCAACATCAAAACTGCCAGGCTCTTCTTGTAAGACGGGAGCTTGGCCTGCCGAATCCTTTCAGGTGGTCACGAATCCCTGCCGTGCAGCTCTTTGGCCTGCAGGGTCCCTTGGCCCTTGCGTTAAGGGCGCCAGAGAAAAACGAACCTCACATGCAACAAAGCCGAATGCGGCTCCGAGGGGAGCCTCATTAATCAAAGACTCCGCAAGCCAAGAAAGCGCGGTCATTGGCACGAAGCGCTTGAGGCAAGCGCATCCACTCCGCCCCAAAGTCCCCTGCCCCACCGCCGATCCTCTGATTCTCGGTCAGCGCTCGGTCGGACTCTGCGCCAAAGCTTCCTTTTGGTGGCTCGAGTTGGCAACTTCCTCCTGTCGCACATGCTCCGGGACTGAACCAGCAGAATATGTGCTCACTTGAGCGCCGTGGGCGTACCCGGTCTCGGCTTCGGTGAACGCCGGGGGGATTCGCTACGTCGAGCTTCGCCCATGCGTGCTGTTTGGCTGGCCATCTCGTCCTTCCTGTCCTGCACGTGTTGGACAAGTTCCGTCCCAGGGCGGTGCTGACAAGCTCCTGCGCGACAAAGGGCCCGCCCTGGGCGTACCGCGTCTTCTGGTTCATCGTGCTTGTTCTCTCGGGCAATTTGGCTGGTCTTGGGCTTGGGTCTTGGGCTTTGCTTCCTTCGTGCTCGTCGTTGGCAAATTCTGTCCCAGGGTGCTGCCGACAGGTTACTGCTAATCAGGTGGTCCCCCCTGGGCGTACCACGTCGCCGTGCACGTCGTGCTGTTCAAAGTTATGGCTTACATACTACAAGTCATTTCTTTATTTAGTTTGCCTGTGCACTTGCTGTGGCTAGCTCACCATGGTCTCCCAACCTGGTCATGGATCATTCCGTATTTACCTTCGTCTATTAGCACGCCTTACACACGGCAATCTGCTTCCCCCACGGAATGCGACAGACCGTGGGCTGGTAGTTGGATGAGTGTGTTGCTCGCTCACCATGTATGACGCACAAAATATTGTGTTCCTGGTGCTGGCGCAGATTTGGCTCAAGGATTCTCTGGAGTTGGAGTTTGCTTTTGGTATTGTATGTGGCTGCTGCTTTGTCGGTCGGCGCTCGCGGGATTAGAACCCCCCGCTGATGTTGATCTTGAATTACTGGTGCAAATAAGTATCCCTTCTGTCATGAACTCTGAGCGTGACAGTGGATTTCTCCATGCTTCCTCGTCCTGAGGCAGGCGTGACTTTGGAGTGCTTCCGCTTCCCAGACCTCGTGGTATTAATCGCAAAGGGAAGAGGAGAAGAAGGAGAAAGAGGAGGAGGAGGATGAGGAGAAGGAGGAGGAGGAGGAGGAGAAGGGGGAGGAGGAGCAGGAGGAGGAGGAGGCGGAGGAGGGGGAGGAGAAGGGGTAGGAGGAGCAGGAGGAGGAGCAGGAGGAGCAGGAGGAGGAGCAGGAGGAGGAGGAGGAGGAGGAGGAGGAGAGGGCAGGAGGAGGAGGGGAGGAGGAGGAGGAGGAGGAGGAGGAGGGGAGGAGTAGGAGGAGGAGGAGAGGGAGGAGGAGGAGAAGAAGCAGTCGGAGGAGGAGCAGGAGGAGGAGGAGGGAGGGGGAGGAGGAGCAGGAGGAGGCGGACGAGGAGAAGGAGGAGGAGGAAGGAGGGAAGGAGAGGAGAAGGAGTCCGAGGACCCTGCCGCCGCCGAGAGGGCTCGCGGGGCCTGCTGAAGCCGGGCCGAGATCTCCTGCCCAGCGGCGGCCGCGTCGCCGGCGGCGCGCGCCTCTCGCGCACGCCCGCGCACGCGGGCGGGCCAGAGGGTCCACCCCAAACCCTCCATCCCTCCCACCTTCCACAATGCGACGACGCCAGGACGAGAATAACATCGGGTGAGGACGAATCGAGAATCTCTGAGATCAAGCGGCTCGGGCGACGCGGCCTTCTCAGAGCGTTCCGGAACGCTCTGAAACGGATCGATCCTTGTCCCAGCCCCGTCCGGCCCAGATCTGCAAGTCCCGAATCGCCACGCCCCTCGATTCTTTCCAGTCGTAGTCTTTTCGGCGGCGCCGGGGGGCTGGGTTTCCCCACCCCCGTTCTTTACAGCGGCCCCTCCCGCCAAAGAGGTGGGCGCAGCGGGCGCTTGTAGCCCCTGCGCCCGGGCCCCTGCGGTCCGCAGTGCTGCGCTCTCCCCCGCCAAATCTCCGACGATCTGTTTCAGTCAATCCCGGGTTTTTCCATCCCGATCTCCGACGCTATGATGTTTTCAGTCCCGGCGTTTTTCCTCCATCTCGGCATCTGGGGCCCGTCATCTGACTACCTACCAGACAACCCCAACCCAACCCGAAAACCCGAATTTGACCCGAATTTCGGGTTGGGGTGGGTACGGGTTCCATGTGTTTTTTCAGTGTTCCCTGACCCCCCCCACTGGAAATGGAGGGCAAACTGAGGCCTTCGGGTTGAGTTGGGGTGGTTTGGTAAGTGGTGATCATCTGGCCCTGGGCCCACCCAGCAACTGGATCCGGGGCGAGAAGCCAGCCCCAGGGAAGAGCTCGGACGTCTTGGATCGGCGCTGGCTCCATCGCTCGATTTGTTTACTCTTTACGCTAGAAAGTATTAAATATGATGGAGGTTGTAATGTACTGTACAGTGTAATATGATGGACACAGTAATGTACTGGACTCCCGGGTGTCCCAGAAACCGTGCGGGGACAGACCGCGCAGCGACCCAGAGCCCTAGAAGACTCCCCCCCACCTCCTCTCGCTGCGACGACAATCACTGGAGGCCTTCGGCAATTTGCAGCCTCTGGGGGCCCTCCCTGGGCCCGGGGACGGCGAACAACGGCCTAGGATGCAAATCTGGTCCCGGGAAATGGCCCAAATCCCGGAGGGTCTACGTTGCCAACCAGCGGAGGGAAGGAAAGGGGGCCGCCTGCCGCACTGCAGCGCTCGGTTGTGAGAGCCGCCTGCTGCGCTGCAGCTTGCGGTCGTGCGGGCCCCCCGGCAACACAACAACACACGGCCACGCGAACGCACGCGCACGAAACGCACCCCGCCGCGCAACAGAAGCGCCCAAGCCGTGAGAAGCCTCGCGGCCAGAAGGCACGGACGCAGGCCCTCTGGAACCTGCCCTCCGTGCTTCCTGCCTTCAAAATCGCTGATCGACTGGGGGGATATGACACAAATCGCGACGTCGCAGTTCTGGGTCCATCTCTCCCTTTCTGCTCCCCGCGCGCGCGGGCGGGTCAGAAGGTCCAGTGCCGAACCCTCCATCCTCTTCTTGGGGGTCCCAAAACCGCATGCCACAACTGTGCGTTTAGCCTTGAATGCCAAAAGACCTCACCGCACGGCACGTCAGCGCACGGCATCAGAGGCCGCGGAAGCCCCCATCACACGAGACCCTCGTCCGAAAACGGCTCAAGTCCTACGGCCACCCCGGATCAGCACACGGCGTGGTCACCGCACCCCCCTGCTCGGCAGCAGGGGATCGGCCCTTCTCTTGTGGACGGCCGATCCGATCCGATCCCCCCCCCAGGTCTCCGACGAGATGCTTTCCAATCGAAGCGTTTTGTCCACGGTTCGGCTCCTGGGATCCGTCATCGGACCCAGGGGCCAGCAGGCATGGACGGGGTCGGGACCTCTGGAGCCGAAAGGCTCGCGCTCCCTCTCGCAGGGGGCAAAATTTTGGGGGGATTGGCTCCGGGGGGGAAAATCGACCGACCTGCAATTGGCGGTGCACCGCCGATAGATCGGTGACACGCTGCCGAAGTAGCGGAACAGTCCTGGGCAGGGTGGGCTATCGGACCACAATCTGGGAAGAAAAGGGCCATTGGGGGTCGATGCGCGCCCTTCGGGCCCTCTGCTCGCCCCTCGCGTTGTCCCTGACATCTCGGGGGTCCGGAAAAGTCCGGTCGCGGGCCAGATGGTGCTGCTCGAGAAAATTGCCTTCTCGACCAGCACGTCTCCTGATGAGTGCTGCCAGAAAGTTCCTGAAATGAGGCTACGTCTCTATTCTGATCTCTAACGTCTGACCCATTAGACACAACTCGGCCTTTATATGTGCGGTCTTTATGCCCGACTGGGAGTTCTGAGTTCTTTTCTACCAGAATGGCAAACAGGCGTCCGCAATGGGTTGTTTGCCCTCTTCGCTGTCGAACAACATCGTAGTATTCCACCATGCCTGACTCACCCCAAGCGCCAATGCTTCGTAACCGATCCCATTCGGCTTGCAGTGCTTTGCGGGCGTCTTGGTTCACCGCAGCTTCGGCCTTGGACACGGGTCGTGCCACGGCTGCAATACTCCGCGGTTGGCTAACCTCAGCTGGTAGTTTGTACGCTTGTTCTGCGATCCGGATATCATCGGTAAGCGGGTTGTACAGATTGTCCGTATCAACCTTTTCTTTTTCACGATGTGATGGGAGAGGTGATTCTGGTGACTGCAATGGCATACGGGGTACACTACGTCGCGAAGCGGCGGCCGCCAGACTCGACGTCAGGCTGTTCCCGTGAAGCTTGAAGGGTTTTCGGAGTGTTAGGTCCCCCCCGACTGTGTCGGGAGGAACCCCATCTCGCAGCATTGTCCCACCATGCCAAGTCTGTTTCCACCATACTTTCTCATCGTCGGAGGTGCCCTGGTCACTCCCAGAGCCTGTATCTGTGGAGAGTTCCTCTGCCGCTCCCGCAGGATGCAGGAGTGCGCGCCCAGTCTACTTCGGTTTCATCTGGCACAATCGTTTATCCTTTCTTTCTTCTTCGGGTTTCAGCACCCGGATGGACGTTGCCCTCTGGGTGCTCAGTGCCTGCGTTGCCGTGTTGCGCGTTCTGGAGGTCCACTGTGTCGATTCCAAGATCGCGAACGAAGGCAATGCCGGGTCCCGGGTAACAATCCCGAGGAAACCTCATATCTCGAATCGCACTTGCTCCACTGCTTCTCTCCGTTCCGCATGGCCGAGGTTGAACCATCGACTTGGGTGAATTCCCGGATTTGTGAAACTAGGTAGATTCTTAAGCCATTGTGCTCCATGGCGTGGGTCTGGGTCTGTGACCCAGACTCTTGTAGCGGGTGCATAGTCGGGGTCGTAATACTAGACGACTCTAATGCTGCAGGTTTCCCGTCTGCCTTTCAAGGGCAGTTTTCCAATGAGTTCATCTTTGCCAAGGCCTGCAACAATGCGTCGATCTTCGTAATGCTCCGTAGGGTCTACGCTCTGCGTGGTTCGGGCGAGAAGTTGTCGACCGTGGCTGTGCCATCGAGGAATTAGGCTGACGATCCAATCTGAATTCAAAATGAACAAGGCCGGGCTTTTGTTTCGTGTCATCGTCTGGTCTCGAATCACCCTGGGGATCCCGACCGTCAGGTACCACGGGCACGTCATCCACAATGACTCCCCCTGGACCATCGTCATCGGAATGTCATCATCTTTTGGTGGTGGTGCGGCCTCGCCTCGTGCCGGAGGCGGTGGTTTCGGCGCACCTGGATCCCCGTCACCAAACAACTGTGTCGCCTGTGACCCTAATCGGATTCCTTGACCGGCTGGGCCGTCAGAGGGACCGCCTGGCGGAATAACGAGGTTCTTGACCTTTGTCTTTGCAATCTCATATGCTGTAGGAAACTTAGGTTCCTGGTCTGGTGCAGTACCGTCCAAAATATTGTTGTAGACTTGATCTGACTTCTCGATGATCGGGCGGTTGCCAGCTGGCGCCCGCCCGGTTTCCATGTTCAGATCGTCAAGTTGTCGCAATGGTGTCACGTTGCTCTCTGGCCCAACCATGCCCTCCGCGATGTGCGCATAGCCGAGGTAAATCCCCGAAATCATTGCCCCACCTGTTTTGGCGATCCGAAATCGAGATTCAGGGGGAGGCATGAATCGAACAAGGGAGCCACATGGAAGAAGTGGGGCTGCAAACTCATGTCCGAATCTGCGCCTCCATGACGATTCACCTTCGTCAGAAATCCTTGCGTTCTAGCAAAGACAGGCGTATCGGACAGCATATGTCCAGAAAAGGTGGGGGAAGGCCTGCCTGCAAAAGCAGCGCCCTAGTCCCCATCTGAACAATTCCGTTGGATCGTTCAGCGACAGCCATAAGCTTCTCGTTGCCAGGGATGGTCGGGATATGTGCAGTCTTTAATTTGGTGCACGCCCGTGCAAGTTCTCTCGGACCGCCAGTATAGCAGTAATCTAACTTTTCTCCTCGGGCTTTGAGGTTTATCAAAAATACATGCGTGAATCGAAGATTTGTCGTGCACACCCTGTGCTGCTATGGAACCTGTTTCCCAGACGTGAAAGGTCACGCGCACGGTCTCGTCGCGGAGCCCCCGCGATAGGTCATCCATCGCAAGCCAGTGATCCATGGTGTTCAGGTGTCCGGGCGTTGTGGGATTCGCGTATGGTTTCGGTACCCTCAGCCTTTTATTTTGAGCTTTCCTTTGTTGGCGCCGTATTGCCTTTCCCCTGTTGCCCACCGAACAAATAGGGTTCTTACGAGTCTGGGCAAGCAAGTGCGAGGATGAGGCCGCACTCTTTTTTAGTCGCTCCGTCGCGGAGACTGGTGCCTCAACCTCAGCACTATCTGGGTCGAGTTCCGGGATGTGCGTCGATATCGACGAGGTCACCTGCTCCCGAACCCTCATCTGCATCCGTATTTTACCCAGGTGCGGCGGCCATTGCAATGGGGTCCAATCGACGATCTGTGCCGTAGGGCAAGATTCCAGAGACCCCATGCCAATAAGGCTTCTCAAACGTAGCCGAACAGGCCCCGGCTATGCCATGGTGCGACTTCGTACAAC